CCACGTGGGCCTGCGAGTTTTCACGCGAAATGCGATCCACTGCACACTGACTCCTGCCTTCGCGAGAGATTGACGAGAATCTATCTATTTTCATACGATGCGGAATCCACCTTACACTTCACTTCTAATAAAACATTTTTCAGTTTTTTTTTAGTTATTGCTTATTTTGTTGATTGCCATTAAAAAATCGCGATTCTTGCTGGAGCGCCAATTCTACACATTTACTTCAATTTTTGTTACCGAAGAAAACTGTACACAGTCAAGACGCTTCACTTGTTTTTAATATGCCAAATAAATTGGTACTGGTACAGGATGGAGATCCACGATAATAAAAACGCATACTGTGTATGCTTAGAACACGTAGGACGATCACGAGGTTCTAGTCCCTTCTAACACGATGCTACTCTTACTGCTTCCGCCCTTTTATTTCCGGCAGCCGCGGCAGCTCCCGCGCGCCCTCTCGCGACTGACTCTTACATAGTTTGAATACACCTATTTTTTTTACGTAAAAAAACTCTACCAAGGGTTTCAAAGATTTCTTCCTCAAAAGTGTCGCTTCCTAAAAATTTTTAACACGCCGATTATCAAAACACTGCGCTACTGTGATCAGCGTGGACAGTCTTACCTGGGCCGGCTTCGATTCGGAGTTCTGTTCGCCATGCTGCACCGCTGTCTTGTTGAAGAAGGAGCTGAGATCCCAGCGACGCTCCTCCACAGCGGGCGGCGGTTCCTCGACTAGGTTCTCCTGCTTCGGCGAGACCGAGGGCGGCGTCGTGGGCCCCTTGGACGGCGGTGGCGCCGACGCCAGGTCCTCCTCGTCCTCGGAGTCGTCGCTGCTGTCCGAGCCGGAATCCGAGCCGGAGTCCGAGCTCGAGCTGGCGCTACCGGAGCTCTGCGGCGCCTCAGCTGGACTCGACGGCTGGCCAACAACGACCGGATTCGCCGGGGAGCACGTGGATGGCAGGGGATGATTGAGAGCAGGTGGAGGAGGAGACAGCTCTTGCTTCGGTGTCGACCGCTTCAGCTGCGGTGACGGGTATCTCGGCGGGCTGATCGGCCGCGGGGGTGACAACGGGCCCACGGGTGACATGACCATGGGCGATATGGGTGTCAAAGTTGGCGGCACCGACGTCATCAACGGTGCCGATAGACTGTAAGGACACGAGATCGTGCTCAAAATTGGACGTCATGATTTTCGATATAAAGATATACCGAGACGTTGGACATCGTAGACATTTTTTTTATGCACAGACACACGTAGTCCTGCAACCATAATGTAAAGCTTGTAAAAAGTGTAAAGTGTAATGGTAAAAAAAAACTTCAAGCATCATTTTACGCCAGTACATGACTAACAACTAGGACTGGTGATTTCCTTCGAAGACTTCGTCACTCGAACTTTCGAAGCTTCGAATTTATCAAAAGTAACAGCTCTACTAACAACACTAAAGCACATCGCCATGCAGTTATGGTCGATTAGAAGCTTAACCGTTGTAACTATAAAAATGTGAGAAATTTTAATTTGAAAAAATTAAATATCAGAATGGAGGAACGCAAGAACCACTAATACTCTGAGCATTGATTGTAGTTCAGATTGTATGCATGCGCCCGGAACAAAGAAAAATGCAACGTGAGCCGTAAACGACTCGATGTCCGAGACTTGGGCAGAGTTTGAAATTTCCCAATAAATCCTTTTTCTATCTTTCATAGCGCCGATTCTTGTTCCAAGTGCGTGAGAAGAAATGAGCGCTATTTGAAATATTAATGACAAACCTAAATCGTTGCAAAAGCACAATTTTGAAGACACATCTTCTCCAAAACTACAGATGAAAAGACCGCGCTTTTTAAGAATTGCAAAATTCTCTCTTTCGAGTCTCCGGATATGAAATATGATTTCGACAATTGGAGATAGGGGCAAGCGTACTTTTTATCCCTGATTCCTCGTGATCCTAGTTAATTTCAGTAAACATAGATTAGCCGGAGTACAAATCAGTTACTTACACGACCGTGAGATCCGGACTCCTGTTTCCTCTCGTCGGTCTCGACGATGTTTCCTGGGAACAAGAAGACCGCTATCAGCAATTTCGCCGTGAAATAAAGTGGAACGGAATTTTTCTTGCTGAACGGCCATTTAGTTCTACGTCAAACGCGACTCGATCGTGTCGGTTTGCGAAAGTACTCTGCGGTATCGCAAGAAGCCGAAGCGAAAAAACAAACTCGAAGGCGAAAGTGCAGCTAATCGTTCGGCTTCTTCATAGCTCAAAAATAATACTTCTAAAGTTCTGAGCGCCCGTTGCCTCGTTACAATTAATATTTCATCACTAATACGTTATTAATTCTTAATTCGTTTTACTTCACAATTAGCTAAAGTGGAGGAAAGTCCCCTATTATGAGATAGCGAGGTTTCCGCTAAATTAATAGACATCGTCTGTTGATTCCGCCATGAATTTTTTGCCCTTGGAGCGAAGTCTGCTTGGCGAAAAATTCATCGCTATATCGTGTAATCGTTGCGAGAAAAGATTTGATTGAATTTGGACGTTGAAAACTTACTATCTCATGTTACACTGACAAAAATTTTTTTTTAACGAAGTAAATAGATTTACTTGAAATTAGTTTTTTTACTGAAGCAAATAATTATTCTGTTTAAATAAAAATATCAAATTTCAAGTAAATTCGTGTATTATATAAGTAAATTAATTTAAATCATTACATTTTCTACATTCAACTAAAGATTTCATGAGATAGAGAATACTATTTATTAAATGAAATAATAGTTTTTGTCAAATAATAAATCCAATTTTCCTCGCTGTAAAACTTATATCTCGGTAAACATCTTATAGAATTAAAGTAAAATTTGTTAAATTTAAAATGATCTAGAGGTACTGTTTGATATTTAAAAAATACTTAAATTAAAAAAATGCACGTTTTAATTTGTTTATTATTCTTTTAATTTAAGTTACTAAGCTATTAGGCGCCACGTAATAAATAATTTTCTTGAGTAAAGTAATATTTCTTCGGATTAAGATATTTTTTTATCAGTGTAGAATTATCTCATAAGAGAGGACTTTCTTCTAATAATAAAATTCACAATAAAATCCATACGCAACAAAATATCGGATGTCTCCTCGGATACGTTACCTTACTCTCCTCATCCTCGCTATCCGACAGGCTCAGATCCCGAGCGAGATCCCTGCAACAGAAAGAAAAAGCGCCGTTTCGATTTCATTGCGAGATTGAGAATCGTTGAGTCGTGTGATTCGCCGAAGTGCCTTAGCGAAGCGAACGCCAAGAGGGATTTATAATCTCGCTGTTTAACGCGATCCCTCTGAAATCGCTCGAGCGCCACTCGTTAAACAAGGAGAAACCCGTTCGGGGCGCGATTACAGACGCGAGAGAGATCCTCGACGGCGGCGGCGACGGTAGCAGCCGGCAGAAAGCCGGAGATAATTTGATATCAAGAGAGAAGTGCATTCGATTAGAATCCGAGACGGAGGCGAGGGAAATGCGTGCGAAGAATACACGCGCGACTGCAACCTGTGGAGCACCGCGTATTAAGGAACAATCGTTCATTGATCCTCGGTGCGCGCCGTTCTCGCGCGTCCGCGAGACCACTTCGTCTCTCCCATCCCACCAGGGATGCCGTTGTTCTCCATTGAAAGTGGACCCGTGGTCGGGGAGTTTCGGTTGGGCTCGAATTGGAGGCAATTAGAAAAACTCCAGGTGATGCTCACTTGATCAAAATCAAAACTTCCAAATTAGGGCAATAAAAAAAAACACAATAAGGCAGTCTTATCGAGGCCTCAGCTGGCCCAGGTTTGATATAAGTTAATAGTGCGGCGTTTCGACCCTTGGTTCAGGTCCTCTTCAAGCGAGATCTTAAAAATGTGCGTGTAAGAATTAAAAGAAAAAAACAAATGTAGTTGCTAGCGAATAATTTAAGAATGGGAAGATCGCACCGAACTTTCGCGCGAGTGTTTGAGGATGCGCGCTTTTCGGAGGCGAGCGCGAGCTTGAAAAATAAACGGGACACGGGGCAGAAAAGCGGTGGGACGTAACGCGTGCTACTAGAACGTGCAGCGTGTATTAAATTGCACGCGAGATAATTTATTGCTTTTTGAGACTGCTTAAACGCATTAAAAAGTTGGGGATATTAATTCCAAGTCACGTCTTTCATTATCTTCTCTCAGTATCGCTCTCGCTTAATTTAATAAAGTGGATAATAACAGCGTGCAGGCTCTCCTGGACAAGGTCGCGCTTACACAGATGGCAAAAAACGAGAGATTCCTTTACGGTCCGATCCGACGCACACTCGTGCGCAATTTACATGCACGCACCCCACGGCGCCGAGGACTTTCCGCGCGAGACGAATGGGGTGCGGGAAGTAGCGCGAAATAAATTTTCGCGGGCGTAACGCCGAGATTTGAGCCGCGAGAGCCCGCCGCATGAGAAAGGCAGATGGCCGAGGTAATTGCTTCCGAGTGAGCGTCTCGGGAGCGCACGTCGCGATTCCCAGAGATTGCCTCGCTCTCGACGAAACGCCTCGGACAAACTGTGTTGTACGGCGATCGCAATTACCGGCTTCTATGTCATTAAGCAAATACGTCGTTTATCAGTCTGCCCTTGGAATTAGCCGCGTTTAATTTAATAAGAAGGATAATCGCGCGTGCCGCCCGGACTTACGGGCTTGCTCTTTTTCTCCCGTCCTCCCGTCCGTTTCCCCGCGACGAGAGTAAACCGCGCGCGGGGGCCCGTTCGTTCTCCCGATGATCGCGAAGAGGCATGCGAGCCTCCGAGGACCGTCCAACGAGTATCCGGCCCGGGGGACAAGGCGGAGGATAGAGGCGGCGGAAAGCCCGCGGTGTGGGGAGAAAGAGCGAAAGAAGGAGATAAGGAGAAAATACGTAGAGCACCGAACATCGACGGCGCGCACGGTGGAGGGCATCGACCCTAAATGCACTGTCCTACGTCCGCGCTCCGTGCGAGAGCGGTGCCTTGTGGTTTTGCCACGCCGGCTGCGTGCGCGAACGGCGCGTCGCGTCGCCTCTAAGCTCGCCTTCTCCTCCTGCCTGGCACCTGACTCGCTGACAACCGACCCGACCGGAGGGAAAACTCACTTAGTTAGAGGCGCGACAACTTCGAGAACTGCAAAAGCTCGCAACACCGAAATCTTCGCGGTTGATAGCGGCGCGGAATATTCTGTTGTACTTTGAAATCTAGTTCCACTCTAATTTGCCGCTCGATGCGTCCTCTCTCGCATTCCTCATATTTGCGGTATTGTGAGCATGTATTTTGCGACTTGGGAAACAAAGGGCGTTGCGAGGATTCTGAAAAATTATTATTAACTGTATTACTTGTGTAAATTTTTTTAATACTTTATACAGGGTGTACTAAAACCACCGAATATCCTCTCTTTTAATCATAAATTCTTTAGAAACTTTCAAGACAAAAATTCTAATACAAAAATGTCGAGGCTATAATAGTTTTTAAATGATAAGCGATTACATTTCACAAATGACAGGCCTGAGATTTCGCGCGCTCAGGTACGGCGACACGACAAGTGATAAAGGTGACAACTTTCACAACAGACTTAACGATTCATTCTCGAATTAATTGTTCCTCTTGTTATCTTTAACCATTTCTTTTGTTAGCTTTGTGTAACGTCTTATCAATAAAAGGGAGGGGTTCACTATGATGAGCATCTTGATCAGACTGATATCCATCGATTTAGTCGATCTCCGATATTCTGAGTGAACTTGGAATTTTCAGTTAGATTCAATCCAGTCTCCTGCCTCTCTTTATCCTCAAGTTTTCAAAATAACCGGATCATCGTCTTCCCAAATATTTTCTGTCCCGTTAAACGGTGACTTTGGTTCTCGCTCGCTCGCGAAACACATAGGAACACTTTTATCGCTCGTCATGTCGCCGTGCCTGAGCGCGCGAAATCTCAGACCTGTCATTTGCGAAATATAATCGCTTATTATTTAAAAACTATCATAGCCTCGACATTATTTTTATTACAATTTTCCTCTTGAAATTTTCTAAGGAATCTGCGATTAAAAGGATATCCGGTGGTTTTAGTACACCCTGTATATTTATACACGTGTAAACGCTAATTGCATCCTGATAGTAACGAAGTCTCGAACAAGCTGCACAAATTGTTGTATCTGTTCGCATTTCCTTGCTCCTCCCCCTCGTCGTTAAAAAGGATTGTGTCGAATTCGCGGAGCATTTCATCAATTCCGCGAGCAACCGTGCAGCCGTGTTGTCCCGAAGAGTTAATAATAGCCACGGATTGATTCGAATTACGCGAACGCCTAAGCCCTCGCCGACTGCTGACCGGCTGGTAGAGCTCTCGCTGCTGCCAGCAAGAAACCTGCTAAATCGCCGCACGAAAGAGTTTAACGATCGCGTCTCGAACGGTACAAATTACTCGGCTTCGTGGGAACGTTCACAATTTTAGAACGGCCGGCCGCCGCCGCCGCATTCGACGCTCTCCGCGTATTGTTTATTAGCGCACGAGCCGCATTTTTCATCGGGACGGGAAACGACGACTAATGGCAAACGCGGGCGATTTATCAAAGCGCACGTACGTCGGTAACGAGAAGCGTATATTCGGAAAAATTGTATGAGGTATCGTTCTATCGAGGCGGAATCTCGCGGCGCGGCGAAGAAAGAGAGAGAGAGAGAGAGAGAACCCGCTCTCTGTGCCCGGTCTTAAGGCCTGTGTCGACGACGCTAGACCTCGAGAACTAGAACTTGGACCAAGTTCTAGTTTCGAGTAATGCGTAGTCAATCAACTTGTAGCTATTCCATAAAAGCTGCAAGTCGATCGGCCACGCATTTCTCGGAACTAGAACTTGGGCCAAGTTCTGGCAACGTGGACGCAGGGCCTCCGTCTCCGTTTGAACACTTCTCTCTGCTCAGCGATGACGAAAATGCGGGCTACATTTCACGGGGGGCTCTCGCAGACACGATGGATGTCTTTTTCCCCGGTAGAATCGGACTCGATACGTCGCAACTTTTGATATCTCACGGCGTACCTCTCGCACTGTCACGTTGAAATACAATGGAAAATTCTAATAGAAATCCAGGAGTAAAATATTTTATAACAAATTCCGGAGCGGCTCTCTCCCTCGCATTCCCGTACTTGAAATTCACTTGTACCGTTCCCCGGGGATCCTTCGCGTTTAACGCTTAAACGCGCGGTGAGAACGCGGTCCATTGTCAGTCTCCGACTGTGTCGTCGCGCTGACGCAACTCGCTACTCCCTTCGGCGGTCGGCGTCGTGGAAAAGGAAGGGAACCTGTTCGCGCGAGGCGTTCCTTTAACCTCGCGTTCCGGCATGCAACGGAACCGCCGCGCCGTGTCGTAAGCGCGCGTTGCACACGCACGCACGCACGTACACGCGCAAAACGCGCCGCGAGTGCACGCCCACGCGAGCGCGAGCGTGCGGACGCACGTAACGAGGAAGAACACGCACGCGTCCGGCCGGCCGGGCTGGAAACGAGTGGAAAACGTTTCCGCGGCGGAAGAAGGGCGGCAAGAAGAGAAACGGACGGCGAGGGTCCGTTTCATTAAAGGGAAAGGCGTGAATGAGCGTTCCTCGTTTGATAAGGGCGATTCGACGAGGGGGAGAAAGGTCGAGATTGGCACTGTTACACGATACCGCCGGCAGATATGCCGACGAGGGAAAAAAAGAAAGGCTACACACGGAGCCCCGACCGCCAAGAAATTCATTCGCGGTTCTGCCGCTTCGGCGGAAATTTAATTCTTTAACGGCGGCGCAGAAAAATTCCACGTTTAATGGAGTAAAGTTCACCTGTCTCTCTCTCTCTCTCTCTGTATGTACATTTATTTTTAAGATTAAAAGAAATATGTTGCCAGAGCATTTAAGAAGTAAACTAGAAGTAGTAGGCAGTGGAGGAGTAAGACAAACTAGACACGCAGGAGATACTGTAATTCAATTTCGTAAAACCAGAAGTGCGCAAAAGAGTGTGTTCTATGAAGGATTGAAAATGTACGATGTGTTGCCAACCGAGATAAGGCAGTGTGAAAAGACTGAGTCATTTAAAAGAGTGTTGAAAGAATGTGTTCCGACAAATGTATTTTAATAAATTAAAAATAGCTGAGAAAGCTAAATAAATACCAATCGATCAATCAGTCACTCTCGCTGTCTCTCAAAATAATTGG